TACTTTCATCATCAATCTAGGAATTGACAGCGGTCAATATATATGGTGTTTTTTTCTTTTAACTGCTTGGAGATTGTATCCACTGGACCATAAAGATTGGGCTGAGAAGTTGAGAGATATTCTGTGGTGGGGGGAGCTGAGCTGGCCTTTGGTGGTGTGGATTGAGCTGTTTTAATTTATCTCACAAATCTGGATGTGCTCAGCTTCAGTCTTTTTACATTCAAAATGCAATATGAGGACACAAATTCACTCTCTTCATTTGCCATTGGGATGGAAGAATTTTTCAGACACAGGTGCATTGCAGTTCTCAAAGAAGGGTCTAATTTTTTTGATCTTGATTAGCTCCACCAAAATTTTGATTTCTTGTATTGATCAGCAAACTCAAGATGTTTAATTTGGGGTAAGGAACAGGTGAAAAACAGACACAAAAAGAGAATTAAAAATTTGCTGAACATAGTTAGAGCAGCAGTGAAACACCACTACAGTTGACAGCATTGATAACACCCCCTTATGTGTTCAATCCACACTTAGTGCACTACACTCACATGTTGTGTTGCCAGAAGATCAAGACAGCAATACTGATAACCAGTCACCTTGCTTGTGCAGAAAGTCTTCCATGTCCAAGAAGGTGTGGAGGCTATTCTGACTCCTGGCTCCCCACCTACACAAAGGCACTTTCAACATGCAACACTATGACTGCTTGCCATCAACATGCAAATTGTTGTCTCTGCACCAAAAAGGTTCCTGTACAGATTCACACATGCTTCAATTGTAGCCATAATTGGACAATAGTTATGACCAGTCAATGTCCTAGAAATGATCTGGGGGAAGATCAACACATCAGTACCACATGCCAAAGGCCTGACATGCCACCTGCTGCTTGAGTTTCAAGTGCATGATAACATGAAGCAATTCCTCATGCATGCCATTGGGAAGGGATTTTTTCTTGTATATTTGACAGTTTGATTGCCTTCAAAATCAACCACTCTCAAGTAATATATTGGGATCCTATTTGGGAATAGAACAGTTTGATATTGACCATTGTTCAAAATTTCATGGCTGAAATCTGGCTTGTGTCCAACTCACTTCAAAGATATATTGTATTGTGGGAGGAAACCCTTCTGGCTAGCAGGTCTTCATCAAATTATCAAACTCTGATAGGAATTCCTCCTTGCATGCTAAGTTTTGAAACAATTTTTTGCATCATTCCCTCCAAGAAAACTGGTCTGGATGAGGTTCTGATTGACTTCCTTTCCTTTCTTACTAATGAATCTCTCACCTCCGATCAACAGTGAAATGATGTGATGTGATGTGATAAATAGCCATGTATTGGCATTGCATTGTTTTGGCTATACACTTCTATTTGATACCAATGCATTTCATCAGAATTGTAATTGTATTGGAAAGGAATGCTAAGGGATGCTGCCAAATTATAGTGCATCACATTGCATCATTTAATCAATGTGATGCCAATACTCTGCATCAAAAAATTGGATGCAAGCAATGTGATTTGGTGCCCCCACATCACTCCCAAAATGTGATGCAATAAAGGCCCAATGTGATGCAATGCATATGCATGCATCACATCAGTTACAACATTGCTCTGATTAACAATTCTAAATCATCTTGATCTGTATATATTCTTGTCTGTTTTCCAATCTGGTTTGTATTTATAGTGCACCCATTTGTAGTCAAAGAACCCAAGGGAGTAGGCAATGCTGAAACTGGGGGAATGATAAGCGCAAGCCATCCCCCCTTGCGCACACCAAACTGCACGCCAGTCGCAGATTGGCATGCAGGCCTGCACACCAATCTGCAGCAGGGTAGATTGGCCTGCACGCCAATCTGGGTTCTAAACCCATATACATATGGGTTTAGGACTGGGGCTATCCCATAGGACCCAGGCATGGGTCCTATGGAATAGCCCACGGAGGCAGTGCGAAAAAAAGTCTTTGGGCTGGGAGGAACCCCTCCCATCCCAAACGCTGTACAGTCTCACGACTGGGAGGGGTTCCTCCTGGCCTTGAGACTGTACATGGCTCAAGTCCAAGAGGAATCCCTCTCAGCCTTGAGACTGTAGAGTAAAAAAAAGAGAAAAAAAAAAGAAAAAAGGGGGTTTTAAATCGGTGATGAAGTTGAAGTTGGGATCTGCAGATACAAAATACATGGGATGTATTGCAGCCGACCTGCAATACATTTATTTGTATTGTACTCCAAGTGCAATACATAAAAAAAATACACCCGTATTGCAGCGGCCTTCCGCTGCAATACAAATAAATGTATTGCCTATACGTTTTGGTGCAATACACACCCACTAGAAATACATGTATAGGACCCGTTTCACCATTGATGGTAGACATGACTGGATTTTCCAATATTGATCTAGTAAATGATGGTTTCAATGGAAAAATCCATGTCCTTGTATATACAGTTTGAGTAGGATTATTGCTGTGATATCATCACCTGCATCTTGCGCTTCTAGTCCAAACCTGTGATTTCCTGCTCCATTTTAAATAAGTGTTTCTGAAATGGTGTTGGTGATTTTGATGGCATTTTTTCCGGTTTCATCTGAGAATTCTATCAAATCAAATTCAACTGTTAAGTTGATTTTGCCTATTTAAGCAATAGTCTATGATTTATACCTCACATGAAGCATGGTCTTGAGAGGCTTATGAACTTTTCATCAACTAAATCTGGGTATTCTGGGACACCGGAGGACTTCCCATTGGATCTGGGACCCTCACAGATGTTGATTTATACCCAAAAAGTCTAAAGGTTTGCTGGGAAATCTAGCTTTCAAGGCTCTAAATTGCTTCTGGGAATTGACAGGAAGTTGTCCACTACTTTGATTGGTTGATTTTTGCTCTCCCAAAGGTATAGAAATGACAAGATTGGGTAAAGGTGTCTGTGAAACATTGCTTGGCTTGACTTTCCTTGAAGCAATGGTGGGCTCAACAGGAGTGGCTTTGTGTATCCTTTTTGTTTGGATCTTTTTTCAACCATGGTAGTGCTGGTGTAGAGAAATTTTTCAGGGGATCAAAGTGATGAGAAAAAATGATTTAAAGGTTTTATCACTATGGGTGTGTATTAAATTCTGTAGGAACCTCTGTTGATGTCAAACAAGTATTTGGCTTTGGTTGGGATTAGGTTTCAGCTACAAGGCATCAAGTAGAAGTATGGTAGTGGCCTTCTACTCAACTAACAGTAAGATCAAAGAAGGCACCTTGGTCACATGGAAACAGGAACTCCTAGATAACAAGAAGACCAAGCAGAAGTTTGAAAGCAAGGTAATTGTTTTGGACAAAAATGAAGTGTTGTCCTGATGTGTAATCACATGTGCAATTAGCTCAAGTAAAAGTATGATACATTGATAAAGGGCCTTAATAAAAAAACACGGTTTTTCCATGTTTTGACGTGGTTTTCTGTGTTTGGACGTGTTTTTTGTATTTAATTTTTTACCACTTATTTTTCGTGTATTTTCAATTTTTTTTAATTTATTTCCTATGTTTTGAAATGTATAGAATTTTATGGCATCATTCAATTTTTGTAAAAATCAGCAAATCACTTTGAAAATTGAAATTAAACACATTTTTTCAATTAATTTCCTACAGCTTCTTTCTCAATATTTTTTTGACATTTTAATTTGTTTTTTCCTACACTTTAAGACATTTAAAAAATTATGGTAATAATTATTTTGCATCAAAATAAAAAATACTTATTTAATTAATTTTTACAGGCTTAATTTTTGTTGTTTTTTGCAATTTTAAATTCATTTAGATTTAGAGATCCAATTTTGGGCATATAAGGATAGACATATGTTTAAATGTGCAAAAATTCTCATAAGGTGCAATGGTTTTCCTGCTGTTTAAATCAGATTGGATCAAAATTTCTGCAGTTTGTTCAAGTTTTTTTTATAGATTTGAAATGGAAGGAAAGTATCTGATTAAAAAAAGGGGTTAATTTCCTGCACCATGGCCCTTGGGTGAGGGCCATTTATATGAACATTAAGCAGTATACAGAATCAAGCAGCAGCAGAAGTGTTAGGCCTTGCACATTGTTGGTTGGCATGATTGGTATTTGCCTTGGGACATCTATTGAGCATAGGTGCTGTCCATTGATGGCCGCAAAGTGTACATTCATGATATTCTAGGGGCACCAGTTGTGTGCAGGGATGACACTGTGCTGTATGTTCAGGACAAGTAGTCATAGTTTTGCAAGTTGCACGGGGCTCGGTGTAGTTGGATCCTGTGGAGTTTGATACACCATTGCATCTTCTACGAGGACAGTCAAGCTGCTTGGTGAAAGCAATGCAGCTGGTGAGGAGGATGGCTGCCTTGGTCTTCAGCCAGGGATGCATGTGGGTGAATTTCACCAAGTGGGGCTTGAACAGGTGAAGGGGGCAACTTTACTACTGCTGTCAACTTCAAATGTGTTGTTTTACAGTTGGGCTAAGTGCATTTGACACCGACTGGATGCTCCGTTTGGAGTTTTAAACCTTGGGGGCAGTGAAGTTTAAAGAGCGGTGATAGGAAGCATCAGAATGCTATTCCTTCTTATGTTGTTGGAAGTTTAAAGATAACAATCATCAAACTTGCCATCTCAAGAAACGTTATACGTGTGCTGACAATGTATCTGCCACAACATACAAGACAAAGCTCATTAGGGCAGTTCAGGTTCCACTCCAGCCAATGCTTTGCTGGTCTTGAACAAGGTTTTGTTTGCTGCTGCACAAACCTCATTAACTTCAATCAAGGGATTTGGCCTCTATAAGGGAGCCTCCCACTTGTGAACCGCCTTATAATCTTTCTCCCCAATTTTCCGGAGGTGCAAACAGATGATGGCTAGCATTGCAGTGCATTTGGTAGTGGCTTATCATATTAGATACACCCCACTTACTTTTTACTTAGCTATGCAAACCTATATTGGATCTGCAATCCAAAAAACCCGATATTCAAGTTTATCTATTCCCATTATTATAAGGCATTATGCACAAAACCAATACAGGCCAGTTCGCAAAGCTGTGTGTAGCTGCTGATTGTTTTCAGAAACAAGATTTCGGAGGATTTCTGCTCACTTATTTTTTTAATCCTGATCATGGGCGAGAGGGTCGACTTGGCTCATGAGTCCCTCCTCCTGCGGAGGGTCCCTGCGGGACGGCGTCCCCCCTCCCATAGAGGGCCTTAAATAACTTTAAGGATTTCTGCGACAAGCAACGCTGCAACAAGCAACGCTTACAGACATCCAGCTCAAGTTTCGGTCAAGTCCCACAAACAACGTAAGCACAAAGGCTGAAGCAACGAGCAGTGTGACTTTTCACACTTGTCAATAAAAACGGCCTATATTGTGAACTAGACTAATCAAGTTCATCTATCTACAAGAATCAATGTAGGAAAAAACAAAGAAAGGAACGGAGAAACACGTCCATTGGCATAGGAGACAGATTATAAATATGTATACATAAACAAATAAGAACAAGAAGCCCCTGAAAAAAAAAGAAAAGAAAAGAAAACCCTGTTAATTTTTAGTTTGTCTACATACATATCCATGTATAAGAGGATGATAATACTGAATAAGTAAGATAAAAAAAGACGAGATTCACGACGTTCAAAACGTCTCTCTTATACACTTCGTTCAAGAAACCAATCCAAACCAAACCAAAAACAAAAAAGAACCGAACGGAACCCAACTGAACCGACACTGGAAATGGAAACGAGGACTGTATACTCCGATGATACAAAAAAAAAAAAAACATCCAAAACCCCAATGTGAATCAAAGGAACCAATAAAAAAAAAGAAGAAATGGTGGGTATGTATATCTTCAAGAAACAACAGTAGATAATCGGGTCAAAGTTTTTTGTGGGTGGATAGGTTATGCAAGTTGACAAATATAAATAGAAAGGAGTGGAACGATCTCAAATGTGAATAACAAAAAAGCAAAAGCTAAAGATTTTTTTTTATCAAAAGTGGGTTTATATCAGTAACGAAGTCAAAGGAAGCCCCGAAGGTTAAGAAGATTTTTTCTTTCTTTTGAGAGAGGTAGAAGAAGAAGAAGACGCGACGGGAGGGACTTTAGGCGCCGGCGCCGGTACTGTAGAAGTGGCAGCAGCATTGGAAGAAGAAGCGAGAGTAGAGGTGGAGAGGTTAGGAAGTTTCTTAGCGCCCAAGAATCCTTTGCACCCTTTAGTTCCACAGTAGCAACGTTGGACGGTAGGAGCGGTGGCGGAGACGAGGGGACTCTGGATGGTCGTGGTTCGACGGAGGGTGGACCGACGAGCGTCTCCCTCTCCTTCTTTCCTCTCCGGAGAGGATCCGTCCAGGTCATCTTGAGTGGAACGGATGGAGGTGCGGATGTTGGAGGTGGGTGCAATGTCACTGAAGTTCTGCTCGTCATCCCATCAAGATCAGTTTCGTGTAAACAAAAGGGGGCGATTTGGAGATGATCGAGAAGAGAAAGAAACACCCACTCTCCAGCCGTAGTCGTACGATAACTCTTCACCGATCTCGATGTCTCGTAAGGTGAATATCCCGAACTGGTACTCCTCCAAGCCCGACAACTTGAACCTCTCTACGCGCAAGTTAGGCGTACAAGAATGGTTGATGAACCGTGCGCAATTTCCTTTCAGACCTGCATCGATCACATCCGAGCCATCATCTAACACAGTCGCCCAATGAAGATCCAAAAACAAAAGCCATGGGTGTAAATAACACAAGACTCGCTAAGAGAAAACAAAAAGGAAGAGAGAAGGACGTACAATCCATCAAGTAAAAATGTTTACATCCGCTGTACTCATTGAGTACGCGTTTATAACAGGCGTCTCTGGAGATGATTTCGCCGCGATAGTCGATGAGGAACCGGTCTTTCTTGAGCTTGATTTCGGTCTTAAGGCCCCATCCCTTGATCGGCCCGGTGTAAAAGACTTTGAGGCCCTTGCCGAGCCTGGGCGACGACTCGTCGATCGCATCTTTGCGTTGGTTGAATGGCAAGTTCTTGCACGCTTGGCCGAGTTGACAAAGTTTCGGATCACACAGATAGAACATCGCTCTTTTCGATCATCGTCATCAAATCAGATCGTCCCTATTAGCTTGGAAAGTCCTGTAGCAGCTAGATATCTGTAATAAAGGGGGAAAAAAAAACGGACCTGTTCAAACATTTTTCCCCACATCCACCATCAGTACAGTTACAAATAGCCGGAGGAAAATCGCTGATCTCCGGTTTGCGAAAGGGATAGACGTTAGATTTGATCTTGATGTAGGCAGGTGGTTCCCAATTTTCAGCATCAAGATTAGGGTCGCCGTTAGGGCCGGGATTCATAGATTTGAGGGCGGCCTTTCGCTCACGAAGCTGACGGACGGCGGCTTTACGTTTCTGCCACTTGATGAATTCGGCCATGGACTTTTGGGGGGAGCTCGACGGGCCGGGCCGAGAGGGTCGACGGACCTTGCGCACTAGGACGTCCGGTAAACAGTCGTCCTCGATTTCAACCTCAGAGTAGATCACCGACGAAGCACTCGAACGTTGCTGTTCTGAGAACTCTTCCTCGGAAAGATCGGTTAGCGAAGAGGAGAGCTCGGTAAGGTCCGAGGACGAGAAAACATCGCGGCCTCGTTTGAGGCCCGCACTTTCGGCCCCAGAACCGGTTCCTTCACGCTTCTTCCCTTTGCTTTTCTCGCTCCTGCTTTTGCCTTCTTCCGTTGTGGAGGTTGAGCCACCCGCTTTCGGTGCTTCTGAGCGCGCTTCCGATCTTGGCGGGACTGGCGTCGATTGGCTTTAGCCTCTAACAACTTCTGTTGACCTTCCTGAATCAGTTTCAAGTCTCCAGCTACGAACAAGACATAAAACATGAACAGGGTAAGAACAGATGTCAGGAAACTGGATATAGATCTTTTGAGGGGGGATGGTGCGACTCACCGACATCGGACCCATCGGTTTGGAAGCTTTTGAGTGCTTCCCATGGTTTGAATTTTTTCATGGGGGGTGGGAGTAGTAGATCGGCAGAGGGTGGGGCAGAGGCGCGGCGATCGGAGACTGAAGCGCTTGAGAATTCGATTGCGGGTGGAGTAGGTGGCCCAGCAGAGTGAGCTTCGGTGACCGAGTTGAAATCGGGGATGGATTGAGGAAGGTCTTCGGTTGTTGTGAGACTGCTTCTTGATTTTGATGGATCTTTGAGATCAGGAAGGTGAGCCTGGAGTGTCAGGCCTGGTTCTTGATCAGATGACGGGTTCTGTGGGCTGGTGGTGTTTGGAGAGACTGGTGCGGTGGAGCTCTGGTTGGGCTCTTGATTCAGAGGTTCACGGTGAATTAGAGCTTGAGGGGTTGGATCAGATGCTTGAGGTTGGTGATCATCCGGTTGAGCTGAATCATCATTCTTGATGGTGTCTGTTGATGCCTTTGTGGGGGCGTGAGATTTTCGTCGATATTTTGGGTTCTTGCTAGTGTCTGAGGATTGCTTGGTGGTGCTATGGTTGTTGCTGTTGACGTGACTAGTACTCTTTCGACGAGCTTTCTTGGGTACGGATTGGGGTGGTGGTGGAGTCGTACTATTGTTGATGTGATTGAATCTTCTACTCATCCTTCTTCCATCCTTGAAGATCGCCGTCTCTACTGGTACCTGGCCTAGTTTCCAGGGCGGTGATGGTGGGTCGACTGGCTCGTTCGAGTTGTCGCGGTTGTTATTGTTTTCGGGTGAGTTAGATTCGTTTGGGTCGTCATCGATGTATACCCACTTGCCAGGTCTCCACATCTTTGATCTTGGTTGGTTAGTTTGTTGGTTGGTTTCTTGGTTCGTTCGTTCGTTGGTGTGTGTGTGTGTGTTGGTTGTGGTTGGTTTCTGTTTCCCGTTGTTTGCTGTTGACCACTCCTATTTATCGGCCACTGGCTGGCTGACTGAGTCGAACCTAGCGGGCTGAGCTAAGCAGAAGACTCAGTCCTTTGTTCTCACTCAGCCTTCGATTTAGAGTTTCCGCAGCCAACCCTGGCCGACGCCACCCACTCAGTCTAGTGATTTGAAAGGGGGCTTCACAACCAAAACTGGTCTAGCTCCAGCTGCAGCACCAACATTCCACAGGGGCAAAGAAACACACCGCTCTTGGGTTCTCGGCCAGTTTTACATGGTGCTCCAGATCGGTGAAAACCAGCTGTACATACACAGATTCTTGCTCTTTGACTTGGCCCAAGGGTCTCAAAGTTTGTTATTTGGTCATCAAGGGGATTAGAGCAAAATGGGCATCAAGTCAATGTGTCATATTGTCACCAGCCTGTTTCATGTTATATTCAACCTAGAAAGTTTTTATAAAGGCTTGTCTGGATAGCCTTATGGTACATTATTTTGAATTGCACCAGTACAACAAGCAAAATTCAGGTTATGGGAAGTGGGGAAATATTGGCGTTAAAGGGGGTCCAAAGAATGATTATGAAAATAAAACCATGAGAACTGTTTTTTAAAATTTATGAAAAATAGTTCCAGTGTTTGGTTTTTTTCCTTTTGAAATCTCAAATCTGGGTATAAAAGAATTGAAGAGAGGGAAGAACAGGATGCAGCTATGAGAGAAGAATGATTAAAAATGGAAATTTTGGAAAAACTAACTATTTTGTGGTTTGGGACAGGTATGGTATCTGGATATAGAGACTCCAGGGATCAGGCGCAGAAGAAAAGATGGGTTTTCATTTCATAACTCAAAAGTGAGGCTATTTTAATTTATCTGAATACAAATATGGGCTGAGTTGTGGGACAGATCAAGATGACAAGAAGGAATATTCATCTGGAACTGGAAAAGGAGTGACATTGGGATGACAGGGAGGAAAGAGAGAAAGACAAAAGAATTCCAACACTGTCTTGCATACTTGTATCACTGGATTTAACTTAATTTCAAATTTTGACGTGAACACTGGCCTCAGAATTGTGTTTGGTTCATTTTTTTCATTTACTATTGTTTGTCCCTCATGTCATGCAGTACTTTCCACCATTAAGTTTTATTTTTGGGAGCTACATAAAAAATTCCTCCAAAAATGAAGAATTTGATTATTATTTTGGAAGACATTTTTTCATGTATTTATTTTCAGAATCACTCTTTGAAGCCCTTTTCAAACCACTTCACCAATTTTCATTGATAGAGATGGCATGGCAGGTACCTATCTGATTTGCATGGAAGCTTCTTCAAAGTGATTGTGATCAACAAACATCAATATGTAATACTTTAATCTCATCAAGTACCACATGGTCTTGAGGAAGAAACCAAGCTAAACTTCTAGGAGGGCACCTTTACAAGGACATGTCAACAGGTATACCTGTTGGCAGGTACCTGTGTACAGCTATTTAACTTCTGAACTCTCACCTGTGAAAGACCATGCAGTTATGTGGGTGTCTTCCTCAATTCCAAGTGTTACTTGATCAGGTGAAAGTGTGGAAATATTGATGTTTGTTGATCACAATCACCATGAAGCAGGTTCCATGTAAATCAGACAGGTACCTGCCATGCCATTTCTAATTCTCCATACTTAAAGATTGCAAGTTGAACTTTGGGAATGAAAAACAATGTGATCATAATTTTGAGTAACCCACTTTACACTACAAGAAAAACTAGTCTCACCCAACCCAAGGCAAAATGTAGCCTATAAGTTTGGAATGATTTTCAACTTGGAAGACCTGTCTGCAGTAAACTTTCAGTCTTCCTAAATCTGAAATTATATTTCTGATAAATTATTTGGATTTCTCATGTAGGCTCTGTTTGTGTCAGCAACCCATGTAGGACACTGGCTGGTGTCCTACATGGGCTTCTTTGAGGTACAGAGAAACCCTTCAGCCTTCAAGACTTGTTCTAGTCTCAATGGCTGGAGGAATCCCTCCAGCCTTCAAGACTTTTTCTAGTCTCAATGGCTGGAGGAATCCCTCCAGCCATCAAAACTATACAGTCTCAATGGCCGGAGGGAGCTGGATCAAATCATCCGGCTATCAAGACTGTAGTCATTCTTGATGGCCAGAGGGAGCCAGATGAAACCTTTTGGCTGTTGAGACCATGTACAGTCTTGACAACTGGAGGAATTTCCTCCAGCAGTCAAGGCTTCAGTTGATCTTGATGGCTGGAGGGAGATTAAACCCACAGGCCATCAAGATTGACTACAGCCTTGACAGCAGTCCAGTTTTCAAGGAAAAAAAAATGGAAAACCAGTTTTGTATAGCTGTTTGGATATATGGTGTGATTTTTCTTGTTGGTACACACCTCCCCTTTCTCCTCTGTCTCTCTCTTTTGCTTCCCACCATCTGCACTATGGCTTCATGGCCTCCCCTGCCCATATGTACCAAACTCTGTATTTGTTTAAGATTCTGACAAAGAGTACAAGACCTAAAGCCATGGTTGCTGCAAAGTTGCAACCATTACAATACATGTATTGTACTCACATTACATTGTATCATATTTTGTTTTGAGTACATGTGTATTTGAGTACATTGTATCACCCTAGTCAACAAGTACGATACAAGTACATTGTACTCAGCCGGCAAGTACACAATTTGAAATACGTCTGTATTGTCTCAGAATTTGGGACAATACAAATATGGTATTCAGCATATTCAGTGTATTTTCTCCCCACTGCTTTAAATTGCATTTTTTGTTAAAATTAATAATGCATTATGCAGACAGTTAGCAGAACAAATTAACTTGGGCAGGATTTGAACCAGCAACCTTAGCTTGAAGCTAAGACACTATACTAGAAGTGCTGCCTTTACCAACTAGGCCACCAAGTCCATGCCTGATGTGCTGATATTTAGAACACTGTGGATTGCAGAATTTCAACATTTTTTAGTTTTGTATGATTATGGGGATGGGTTGTACCACTATTACTGCATTTCTCAATGCCTTTCCTCCTTTTTTCTCATTTTTTTCTCATTTTTTTCTCATTTTTTTCTCATTTTTTTCTCATTTTTTTCTCATTTTTTTTCTCATGTTTTTTCTCATGTTTTTCTCATGTTTTTTCTATGGAGGTACTGAACAGCCACTTTGGCCAAAAAAAATGAAAAATGAAAAACCCAATTTTCAAACAAATATGAGTGATTCCAACCGCCAAGTTGGCCAAGTGGATCTGACATGTATGTCATACACCCTGATAATACATCTCAAACATTCCAATACATACAAACTATGTGATAAGCTCCCTGGAGCAAAAGTACCTACCATCCTCAACGCATAACACATACACCACAGCTCTTTGACCAATGATTCAGCTGGCAACCAAGCTCAAGAAACACACTTCTCACTAACTGCTGACCCTTACCAGACCAACCACTTGACACACACCAACCACTCGACACACACCAACAACTCAACACCACCCCACCAGATCTTACTACATACACCAAACATCCATCATGTGTGCCTCAATGCAATCTTTTGGTGACGATTTTGAGGCTGAGGTTTCTCTTCTAGTTGAATCTGGCCTGACAGACGCTGAAATCCGCAAACATATTCAAGACACGCACGGCATATCCGTCTCTAAACGAACACTCACACGAAGGAAGGAAGATTGGGGACTTATACTTCAAGCCACTGGACATTCCAATCAGCTTGAAGACCACATCCAAACCTACTTTGAACGCGGATTGTCATATTCACAAATCCACCATGCTCTAACAACAAGTCACGACTATACTCAATCTTTTCAAACGCTCAAAAGGAAGATAAAATCCATGAACCTGACACGGCGAACTGACAATTTCGACAACAACAAGGTTGACATTGATACGATCGTCTCTTGCATTCAGGAAATTCATCAAACCCCTGAAGGCCGGAACGTTGGTTACCGAAAGATGCGACAATTGTTACAGACAAAATATGGGTTCAACATTCATAAGTGTGTTATGTCTTCTCTGTTATTATAAATTATAATCCCGTGGAATTATTTCTGATATTTCTTTGTTTGGAATGAAGTCTCACAGTTTCATTGATCAACCGTACCCTTGATCCTGAAGGTGTTGATAACCGATCAAAAAGGGTTTTGAAGCGTCGCGTGTTCAACACCCCTGGCCCGAACTTCATTTGGTCTGCCTGTCAGCCGCGGTGATACCAAGACTCTGAGTCTTCTAGCTACACCGGGTGATGGGGTGGTTTGGTATGATATTTAGGATGAAGAAGGATTAAAGAGGGGCCCAGGTTATGGGGGTGTTTACGGTGCCCTCGGGGATACGAGCCTAAGTCTAATATGACGACTGGTGGCGGCTTCGGCGGGGTCTCGGCAAGAAGCGAGGGTATTCGGTCCGCGTATCGGAAGGTGGAGGGATAGGTTCTAGAGCTAGGAAGGTTACTTACTTGAGTATGAGTCCCCTCAAGTGCGAAGCGGTTCGAAGCTCAGGCGGCGGTGGAGTCCAAAGATAACGAAGCCTTATTAGCGAGCACGGAGAGTCTACTGGTGGTTCAAGGGTATCGTTTTGGTGGTTTGGTGTTCCGGGTTTGTAGTTTATGAAGGAGAGCGAGAGGTTAGTGAGGTGATGGGAAGAGTTAGTTACAGGTTGGTTCTGGAAAGGAAAATGGATAATCGATGCTCAATGTCTACTGACCTGAGCTGGCTTTTATCCTCATCGGGGCCGGTACCAATAGCGTATGGGAAGTCGATTCCTGTTTCGGTTCCGTCCTACTTGTTTCCTTGGTCATGAGGTCATGACTAGCGATGTCGACCTCAGCCATCATTCTGAAATGTGTGACATCTTGAGAAACAAGGTGTCACAGCTCAAAGAATAGCGCTGGAGATGACGCAGGTGTAAGGTATACTACTGCTGCGGACTCTCCGACGCGCATTCCTAATGTTTTTTGGTCATTGATAGTTATTTTATTCTTTTACTCAATCATGGACTATGTAGATGTAATTAATTATTTTTTAAAAGTTCAAACTAAATTTCTGAAACTCAGTCAGATTGTCCTGCTTTCTCAGTGACAAGCTGACACTGCCGATGGCCACAACAAACTCAAGAAGTTTGGGATCACTGTCTATGACTTTATTGATGCTTGGAGCCGGAAGATTTTGGGAATCTTTGTTCATGTCACCAACAACAACCCCCAACACATTGGATACTACTATCTTGAGCTTGTCAAACGTGAAGGTGGCATACCTCGCCGAGCATCTACTGACAGGGGAACCGAAACAATCCACATGGATGGCCACCAAATCAACCTCACCGAATCGTTCAATGCAGACTGCCCAGATCCAATTCAGTCACACCTGTTCACCAAGAGCACTGACAATCAGAAGATTGAGTGTCTATGGTCTCAGTTAATGAAGCAATACAACAGCGAGCTAATAAACCAACTCTTTCGGGCGGAGGAGGAATCGTACTATGATCCACAAGATCCTGTTGAGCAGTAAGTTTATTTATCCACAGCTTCTCTGGTTTGGTAATAAACTGACTAACATTGCATGAATCAAAAGTCTTTTATTAATTATTTACTTATGGGTTCCACTTCTGCAAGAAAGTCTCGATCAATGGACGAGTAACTATAACAATTACAAACGTCAATGGGACAAGAAGAGCATGCTCCCAACTTGATGTAGTGCAGAATGGTGCTATCAATATCCCTCGGAGGTTGGAGGCAAACAAGGATTGATTCCAGTGCCAATATCTGCTGCCGAGGCCTTACAGCAGGCATTCTATCCGGAGGGGACAGAATTAATGGAGACGTCTCCCAAATGGTTTGGCAAAGCAATCAAAGAGCTGGAAACCGGGATGCATCTCACAATACCTGTTGTTGACATTCAAAACGTTTGGGAGGTGTTCTCTCTTGTTCTTGAAGCTATCCGTTCTTTTGACTTGTCTTGGCTTTCAAACCCTACCACACAGACCCTTCTGAATCTTTCTCTCATTGTGCCGCATCCTTTGAT